GAAATCAAACATTGGCTGGCTGAGTGAAAGAAAGGACTGCTTGCCAGAGAGATTCAGCTCTACAAAGAGCTGAAATCCTTTGGTAGGCAGTCCTTTTGCTCTATTCTCTTAACAACCTTAGAGATTACTTAACTTGCAACTGGGAGTGCAAGGATTGTGATAATTGACCAAAGGAGTCACATGACATGACTGTCTGAAATACATGTGTGTTCTCAAGATCTCTTCTTGATCCGCAGAGAATGTTTGGCAGTATGGATCCAGTATCTAGCCTCCTTTGACCATAATGCCTCCTGCTAAACCATGGAATATCAGTTCAACATATATCACTAGATGCTTCTCCCAGATTCCATAATACATTTTGGTGGTATTCTAAAGTTGTACTTGCACAATAAACCTGAATGAGCCTCAAACAAAGGATGAAAGATATCCATTATTCTAGTTACTCTTGCTCTTCATAGGTTGTACTAAATTGCATTTGATTGAAATCAATGTCTCCCATAGTTGATAACTCTCACATGGGTTTCAGGAGTGATCTCTTAATATGGTTTAAATATCTTACTCAAACAATTTTTTAGGATTTCTTTAATTGAAATATTTGTAAATATTTATTTGAGAAGTCAATGTCCTTTGCATTCAACAGCTCAAGACAGCATGAATGATCCTCCCTCACATTTTTAGTAATATCCTATATTATTTAGATCTTAATAATATAAATATTATGTATGTTTATTTAATAGTAATTCTTACAGAATGAAATGGAATTCATTACCTAGTAAGTATGATCTGGATCCAGCCTGAGGAGAAGGACTGGAAATACTTAAAATTAAGACATTAAATATTAATATGCTCATGTATCATGCCAGCTGTTGGCATACATATATGCTTCCTAGCAGTAGGCATCTGGGGGGAAAATTAAATTTGTTGATATTGGTTCCTTTCCAGTTATTCAATTTATCTTGTGTAACGTTCAATCATTGTAATGAACAATTAGCTAGTATAATTAAATTTCTATTTTCAGGACTATGAGTTTCTAATGTCTGAAAACCATTCAGTGTAAAAAGTACAGTACTCTACTGAACCTTTTGCACATAATATTGCTGTGCATAAGTTTTCTCTTGTCATTTTACCCTTAGAAAGCCTATAATTCTTTATCCACATATGGCGGTGTAATGTAAGAAATGTCTTTCATAGATAAGCACTTCTGGTCTTTCCATATGTTTAGTATCCTCCCAAATGATGTCAGCTTACTAACTTGCTTTGTCCTACTAATCTTTCTTCGCTGTGTTCAGTTGTGCTTTCTTCTACGTTATGTCTCTTCCCTCTATCCTTTCAAATTTGATCCCAGTGCATTAGGGCCATGCAAATTTTCTACTTACTATGGGGTGTTTTATTGTTGTTCTTTTGGAGGGGGGGTTACAGGCAGTTGTGCATTCAACAGGTATTGTGAATTAGGAATAATAAAAGATTGTCACTTACACAGCATCTGAAAAGCTGAAGTCAGGGCCAAAGATATGTGATTTCTGCTCAGCATGACACTGTTAAAGTCAGACATTAAGGTTTTTGCAGACTATCACTGCTGTTAGAAATGATTAAGGAATGGTCAGTAAATTGAATTGTTTACTGGAGCCATAAGCTGGAGTTTGTATTTATTTCCATTAAACTACTTAAAATCAAGGAACATTTCCTTCTGACAGTTTAGATAGATTCTAAGATTAATTGGTAAATCAAATAATTTTCTTCTATATGAGCCATGCTCATTTTAAATAGAGTTTTGTGAGATTGCAAATACGTTTCTTACAAAATTTTGTTTAGTTTTTTTAAATTTGTATGATGTAAGATGTTTTGAAGATCAGAAGTAATCAGAATCTACCTTCCCAACATATCTTGTTTAAAAAGCATTGCATATTTGTGAATAAAATAAATAACTGCATGATGATACTTTCCCCAGTTTTCACAACAAATTGTTATAAACTATTTTACTGAGTACAGTATAGGAAAACAAATTTGATGTGAAGCAACTCTGGACTAATACCCAGAATAAACATTAGATCAATAAAATGCCTATGGATTAATCGGAAGGAGTTACTTCTCTGTAAATATGTAAAAGATTTAAACAGAACATAAAAATAAAAAATGCATGATATACAGAATAGCCTACATTTGTTTTTACATGAATAGTAATATTCTTTTTGCTCAGTATATGCTGATTTCAATATTTACTTCCTGCTTCATTTAATATTTATTTATTTATTTTTATTTGTCAATTGCTTACAAGATAATAGGTATAAGTAAAAACATAGTTATGAATACATAGATACATATAAGAAAAATTATACATATACATATACATATACATA